ACATGCTCACGGTCACAAGCTCATGGTCCCGTTGTAGTTTGGGTTCCCCACACACACACACACACGTTCACGGCTTCCTCTCAAGCTGGTAAACAGACCTGCCGTCAAGGTCCTACGTTGCCGCAAGATGTCGGTCCTGGATATGCCAAGCCGCGCGCCGAGTGCTCCGGGCAGGGCCAGAGCTTGCCGAATGCCCGGAGCCGATGCTCTCCGAGCTTTCCGCTCTCCGTAGGCGGCTCCACCTGGAGGTGGCCACGTCGCGCGCAGGCCTTGGAAAAAGCTCCTGTCTCCGAAGAATGGCGAACTTGACCTGTGTGCGAAGAAAAGCTGAACCAACTTATTCCAGGAGACAGTGCGAACTCCTGGATCGTAGTGTTGCCAGCTTCTTTTGTCTAGCATCCAGCGGTAGGTGGTGAAGTATGCGTCCATCAACCGAGGTGGCCCCATTGCGAACCTTCAGGGGGTTCAACCGTTCCCCCACACGATGCTATGGCTTCAACTGCTCTTCACGATACGAGCTGCCTGTCTGGCATTGCAATCCACTGGCGATCAGGGATGGCATATGCCCAAATGGTATTCTCCTCATCAAAGACCGCCACATCCTGCTCTAAACGGTTCTAACTCTCCCTGCTTGTGATGAGCAAGAGAATTGCAGACGCCTTCGGGAAGATCGCGATGCGCAAGTCCAGCCGCATTCGGGCCACCCTCCAATATGAAACCCGGAACCTGCGCGGGGGGATCTGCAGCTATTTGGGCCTAGGCCCTAGGCACCTACAAAAGATCAAAGTCTTCTGGATCGGAGATATCTTGACATGATTGGGATCTTCAGACTTACAAACATGCATTGCCATGGAGGAAAGTGAATCACAAGCAATTCGCGCGACGGCAGGGCATTGCAAGATTTTCTCTGCTGGTTCTCGGCTTCGCTGCCTCTCTGGGGAACCTGGCTATAAAGGATTCACTGAAGACTTGGAGGACTTAGGCAGGAAAGGAAGAGCGGAAGCAGGTCGGCCCCACCAGAACCTGGAAATCGGGGCACGTCCACAGCGGACTCCACCTCCCAAGTATTTCCGAGTATGTAAGGACTTCCAGGAGACTCTGCAAAACCAAGCCGTCTACCACAACACAAAGGCATATGCTGAAGGCTACAGATGTGACAAGCCCCAGACATGCTCAAGCTTAAAGGCATGGCAAAGCCGTACGGAGCAATGCCTCCTCCACTGGATGGAACCACTTCAAGCACCAGAACAAAAGCGTGTCGAGGGCAGCGAGCAGCAGAAACAGCCTTGATCTGCAGCTCATGCCATCCATCCCAGCGCGCTGTTCAATGACAATTGACTGTTAAGGTGAAGGCTTGCCAGACACGGGTCCAACCCGCAAGAAGCGCAGCAAACGCTGACGCAAGCAAACTCGCGGAAGTTTCACCTCGGCGGTCTTGGGTGTCACAACCTGTCACAACCTTGCCCCTCAAACACCGTTGAACCACGACGATCGTGCAACATACATGTAACGGCTTGTTGGTGTTGATCGGCATGCAGCTGACGCTTCTGCAACCCGTCCGAGCACATGGCAACCTTGCGGTACACCTTTTCCGTCCTCTCTGCAATGTCCTGGGTCACTCTTTGCTATCACGACTTGGAGATGTGCCCCAAGCTCCTCTTTCTTACCTGTCTGTCCCCCTGATTTGTCTTGCCCTTGCCCGCAGGTTTGAAGGAATCAAGAGAGAAATTCGTAAAACTCGAGCACTTCATCGTCACTTAATTGCATACGGCACTATGCCACTATGTAATCGGAGCATTGAAGACAACTACTTCTGTGCAAGCCGGGCTGGGGCTGGTGCGAGCCAGGAGTACATCCCGCGCACCTCTTCATGAAAAGTCGCAGCTGCCTGGCTTGCAGCTGCATGTAAATGCAAAGTTCAGGATTCTGCAACACGGCAGCACTCTTCTGCATTCGCAACAGGATTTTCCACGAAGAGCTATTCAAACCACCATCAGGAGTAGCACATCATTACCACCTCTATATCCCCAAAGCTGAAGGCTGCTACTAAAAGCCAGCGTCGCCTCCGGCAGAGGGAGTGAGCCAAGAGCATCTTCCAAGGCCTCTCAGAAACGAAAAGATCGTCAAAAGGAGCTACAGGCCTAACAAAGCCCATGAAGACAGCTCTGCTGTCCCTTGTTTTATACTGCACCCAAACGAGCTGCTTATTGTCTGCGAGCTAAGCTTCCACCTGCACGATGTCGTCCACGCACGGAGCAGCCAGGCGGGTCATGTGAGGCCTTGGCGCTCTGGCTGTCCCCATCGCTGCGCTTCGCGAAATCACTTGGCCATGATTACCCTTCACTCTCATGCTCTTGCCTCGAGTCTAGCATCTCGAATTGTGCGGCCCAACAAGTGAACTCTGTGATGACTCATCCCAGCAAAGTACCAAGGCGTACCAACAGGTTTGAGGAGTGGAGCCATAAAACTGAGTTTGACAAAGTGTTCAGAGCGCAAGCTCACCTTCCGCTTCAGGTCGAAGAGTTCCACAAAGAGACCAGGCTCGTTTCTTGTGCAAGCGTGAGCTTCCCTGGCGACCCTTCGGGGGCCCAATGCCTGACGAAGAAAGGCATTGGGCGCCCATGGGCAACGTCTGCACTTGGGATGGAGGACGGGTCGGACAGGGGTGGCTGGGATCGGTGCTTGTAAGACACACAGAACCACGCGAGGCCGAAGCGGGAGGACTTCGGGGATGCCCCCGACATTGGTCGACACGACCATCAGTCCACAAGCAGCTGCCTCCACCTGGCTTTCAAGAATACTGCCATCGAATACATGTCAGAACAAGCCAGGTCGACAATAGCAATGCAGAACGCTTCTGTGAGCGAGGTGTTGAGGAAGATGTCCCCTCTCACAAGAACCTGGCGCGAGAAGTGTCAGTGGGGCAGACTACCTGGCAAATCCGCTTCGATCTGAACTTCTGCTGGCCTTGCGGACATCTTCGTGCGGAACCGATCCCAAAAGCTCCACTCGGTCCTAAGGTTGCCGTGCAGGGTCATCTGCACCTCCTATGCAACAGCAGTTCACTCGCAGCAGCAATACCCTGAGCTCCAGACGTGAAGATTATCCTGGAATGCGCATCAGCACGCATGCTCTCCCTCTGATTCTGCTGGTTCTGTTGGGCTTTTGGGGGCTTTCGGCTGCTCCGAGGTTGGGACTCGGCACTCTCAAATGCAGCCAAGGGCTCCCTCTCGATCATCTCTTCGAGCAACAGCCTCTTTGGGCCACTGCCACCGATGACCCTGAGATGCAACATGCCACGACGACACACGAACCATGATCACCGTGATCACTGATGAAGTGGAGAATGCTCAATGCAGAAAAGCCACCATCGCACGTCCCGGTTCCTAGCAACTCGTGTGCTCCAAGACTGCTTGCACCGATCTCCCACGGCAGAACCACCTCCGGCAAATCTCCGGCACGGCACCCACTAAGAGGTCCACGCCCTGCAGCATCATTCTGAGTTTACAGACCCCTCGGAACAAAAACGTTCACATGGAGCACCGCTGGTAGCTTGACCAGTACCAGTGAGTCAATCTGCACCGACCCCACCTTGCGATAGGTGAGGCGACTCACCACCACCACTGTCACAGCCGGTCGCGGTGCTCTCTTGGAAGTGTCCGGAGTGAAGCGCCTGAGGAGGCACGCGATTGCTGAGAATAATAATAATAATATACTATTAATAGTAGTAATGATAAATAATAATAATAAGAAGAAGAAGGTATGGTCCGCAAATCTCGCCAGCCTCGTGTCCACTGCATTCGGAATGACGGAGACATTGGCTGGATTCAAGGATGCTCGCAGCACCAGGTTCTCGCGGTTTGTGTGCGACACACAGATGCAGTGCCTTGGACGAATCTTGCCAAACCAAATCCCAAAAAAAAACTACTAGTTCCCTCAGAGCTCGCAGGCCTGAGACGTCCAACCTCTTCTGACAAGTACCTTGCATCACGGCATCCCAGGAAATCCAGTGATGCGATCCGGAAACTCGACGTTGGTCAGGAAGAACTTCAAAAGCTTGTTGACCTTGTCGGGACTCTGACGGCAGTTCAGGGACACATGCTCAGTTCCTGTCCCGGCCAAGACTGCGACGTGTATGCAAGCAGCATCTGCGAAGCCGAAAAGCGAGTGGTCCGTGTACACGGTGTGATAGCCCATGGTCCGCGCATGGAGCACGCACCTGAGCGCTTGCCCGTCGAGAACAAACGAACATGAACTACAACAGCAACGTTTACGTGCACCGCTGGACGTCTTTCACTGCAGCCAGGCTGCTCGTGCGCCAAGTTGGACGTAGCTTGGTGGCCATGGACGATGTCAATGCGCTCACGAATGAGAACTTTGCGAATCAGTGGAAAAAACGATAGGAACGTAGGAAAGGTGCCTCTGATGCAGAGGCAAAAGTTGCTGTTGAGGAACAACTGCACTGCTTTACCGAGGGGCAATTGTCATGGAAAGGCAAGAAAGGAAGATAGTAGACCTTCCTGGGCCAGAAAATCAACAGATCTCCGGAACGAGCCAAAGGCCTGCACATAGCGAGATGGCATCAACGCGAATTGCATCCCAAGAGCAATCCATTCCGCATGTAGCGAACACCTTGTCGAGTCCCACGAAAGTGGGTCACCACGATGACCTCCCCAGTCCCGCTTGGAGAAAAATCACAGTCCCCTCCTGAGCTCGGCGCCTTGTGCCCACGCTGAATTAAGCACTCGGAGAGCTGGTAGATGTGCATCTCAACGCCCCCCAGGCCTTCTGTCCGGCAGCATTGTCAGACTGTAAATTCTACTAAGACTCTATTCCTACATAGCCGGCATGCCAAAGCTTGTGTAACCAAGTGACCAGGATGAAAGAAGTCTGACACCATGCAGATGTTCAAAGATCTGTCCTTGTGCAGACTTGGCTAATCTTGGTATGGCCGATGCAAAACCAAACTGAAGGCTGAACATGCGGACCAGATGCCATGCCTTCTTTGGTCATAGATACTTCTCTCACCTGAAGTGCAACAGTCTCAGGGTCTCTGGCAGGTATGTGTCAGCTCAGCAACCGTGCCTTGGCTTGGCTGTGGGTCACCAGGTCACGTAGGGAAGCCGCAAGTGCAGGGCCCGCAGGAGGAGGGCTGCTCTCTCACACATGGCTCTCACTTCGGCGCCTTGTTTTCGACTGCAGATGCTCTTTGCAGGCCCATAGGCACAGCCGGAGTCTTTTGCAAATGACTCTCTGTGCGCAACTTCGTCCTTTTGCTGTCAGAGTACAAGAGGTGCTCAAGCTTCTTTCATCGTTTGATGTATTCACTCTACGCTTTCCTTAGTTTACCGCCTTGCAAAGTGGCAGAAACGGCTACACACGGCATCCATTCAGAACACGGTCGCACAGCTCGGGCACGGCTGTGCCAACAAAAACAGGCAAACGGCATGTGCGGGAGGCACCGTCTCATGTAGCGGTGAAGAAGGCGGCCGCAAGTGTCAACATCACGCCATACGTAGACCTTTGATAAAACGACTAGCGTGGCTTGTAACGATCTCAACTGATTGTGCAATGTGCTGCATTCCAATGACATGCTGCAGTGAACTAGAGCACGGCTTGTCTGATGAACAGTGCCAGCAGACACAATGATGCCCGGGGCAAACGTCGGGGTCGGCTTTGGGCCCTTCTCGAATCCACTGTAGTTCTTCTGGACTCATGAAGAGGCTGTCGACACAAAGCACCTGAGGAATCCAGAAATCCGACTGCAGCGCAACACGGCAGCACAACGGCAGCTCTCGGCAAGTAACAGCTCGCCTGTGCTCGCAGTGGAGCGAGCACCTCGCAAGCCCGAGCACAGTCCTGCCAGGAATGTGCGAGGATGTCAAGAATCAAGAATGGAGGGCAACACCCATGACGTGATGGGATGGTCAACCTCCCAGTAGCTCGGATCGCAACACGGCGTTGACACAAATTACGACACCCAGGATGCGGCATACTCAACCGTAGACGAGGCAAAGGTACAACAAGCTGGCCAAACTCAGCAAATGGCCGACACATATGACACGTCCTGAGAAGGTACAACCGCGAAAACGTCGAAGCTAGCAAATCGGCGTAGGACCTGTAGCTCTGTGGGCTATCTCGCAACTTCCACCAGGATTGCGCCAGGCGGACACTCCGGCCTGCTCAAGGTCTGCGACTCCGTTGCGGCTGCGCAGTTGGCCCGTCAAGCACAAGCCTGCGGGCAAAGCAGTGAGCGGTGAGAAAACGCCCTTTTTCGTGCGAAGAGCTCTCTCTTGATGCCTAGGCGACGTGTTGGGCCGGCCATGGCTGCGTGCAACACGAAGTGCTCCAAGGACCTGCAAGAGGCTCCGTTTGACCTAAAGCTCAGCCTCCCGCACTGCAGCGCCTTCCCTGCAAAAGTCGGATGGCCAGAGCGTCTGAGGCAACGGAGGAAGCATTTCGCCAGATGACACCGTGGCGCCAGTCTGTCGCCTCTGGCTATACAGTGCTCCTGACACCTTAGGCCTTCGGTAACTCACAAAGGGGCCCTTTGTTGTCAATTTCCAGGCGACCTCATCTCCAAGAGGTCCTCCAGCGCATACTTCGTCCGTGCAGCCGAAGAGGGACCGACGAGACACCTGTCAGTCGTATCTTGACGGCCTGTTACAGACTCAGTCCGCCGGGCAATACGCCCCATTCGCACAAATCAATTCAGCGTGCGCTCGTCGTTTGCCACGGCCCCAACCGCCACAACCACTACCCACATGTACCCACCACTACCCATCAAAATGCAGATCTAGCTTCCACATGCTTCCACTAGCGAGCGGCCTTGAAGTGCTCGTAGCCCCGGCTGGAAAGCTCCGGCAGTATCCGTGAGATCTCCATGCTCCTGGAACACCCGATTCGCATCACAACCGGCCGTCTGAACTGAGGAACTGAGCACCTCAAGTCCAAGGCCAGGAATGTCGGAGACCTTCCCGAAGCCTGCACACGGGTACATCCCACTACTCCGGCTGGCAAGCCAGCGCGCGGTGACTTCGTCAAGGTGCCCGTCCTCGAGCAGCTCTTCAAGCAAAGATAAGATGCAGGGAACCTGGGATGCAAACACTCTTAGATGTCGCTTCCTGAATGTAGCAAATCTGCAGCCACACTACTTACTGCACCCTTTCATTTCGACTCGGGCGTGAGCTTGCAATCGTGGTCCGTACGCTTGCAGCACGGCAATGGGTGATGTTGTCATCGTCGGTGGTAAACGAGTGCATCCTGATCCACCCGCTGTCGCAGTCTTTGGGCAGACATCCAGTCATGAAGGATGTGGCACACAGGCGCTGTACAATTTGCACCACTCCTGCACGGTTTTCATCTGTCCCGCCTTTAATTTCCACTGCAGTCATCCGGTTGGCACTGTACAGACTGGTGTCGAAGTCATGCAAAGCACCCAGGTGGAGAACCTTTCCAGGCAATGTCGCATATACACGGCATGCCGAGCTACATATAGCTTTAACGTAATGCACTGCCGTCATGCATTCGCGGACTGCTCCCTGGACACCGTTATTGAAACTCTTTAAACCGAGAATGTTGTGTGCGTTTGGCACTGAAATCGCAGTTGAGCTAGACTCGGCCCCCTCTGCTCCTAAGTCTAGCCATGGTTATACATAGTTTGGAAGTGGAATCCGACGTGGATGAGCTTGGATGAGACCAGGGAGTTGTTCTCGCCTGCACGGCATGTCGCCAAGAATCCGAAATTGATCCAAAAGCGTCTAGACATAGCTCCAAAGCTCAAAACACAAGTTCCGCTCGACAAAGAAGCTCCTATGCCTACCGATTTTGTAGATCGTGCGAAGCCCAGGGCTTTTCATTAATCTCACGCACATCCTGCGCTTGTGCAGGCAAAGGGCGGTCCCCCGCAGGCTGCCGAAGATGTGGTGGAGCAGAGCTGGTGAAGGAGCTACCTTCATGCAATGGGTGGAGATGGAGGAGGCGGAGGAGGGAGAGGGAGGAGAGAGTGAGACAGAGACAGAGAGAGAGCGAGAGACACTAGGAGCAGACCAGGTTCCTGTTCGGACTGACACCTCTCCACAACCCCACAGGCTGCCTCAAGCAGATATGCGCACTACCCTACGTGCACTTGCACGCAGTCGGGTGGGGCGGAAACCCGTTCCGCGCCTCATGTCTCCGAAGGTTGCGCAAGCCGTATGCATAGGCGAGCTCTGGTGCCGAACGCCCCAGCATCTGACCATCACCAAGGATATACATGCAGCAAGGAGAAGTTGTGCTGCGCAGGAACACAACGGAACCGCACCGGAACCCAAGCACCAAACCGTCCTGTGCCATGCAGACCCGGGTCTGCTGTGAATGCTCAGGCGCAGACAAGAACGCTGCGAACACATGAGATACCCTCTCGTCGGGACGGGTCGCGTGGCAGACCTGGCCTGGAATAGGTGGTCCGTCTCGGGGGGAAGCCCGCCCCCAGACCGGTCATCTCTTTCCTCCGATGGCTTGAGGCTTCAATGCGAGTTCTCACCCTCTGCAGCCCGGCGTTGCAATGCGATCTGAGCGTCGCTGTTGCACTTCATGCAATCGTCCAAAAAGCCCAAAAAGCCATCCAAAGGCCGAAAGCTGTCGGAATCCCGGTCCTCAATGTCACTATAAGATGTTCCCTCTTTGCACAGCGCTGAAATGTGTTGAAATTTCTTGGCACGGTCGATTTCGAGGTCCTCCCAAGGCAGCGCTTCTGGGCAGGTCAAATCATTTGCACCAACCGTCCGAAGGGGCCCATTTCGGGACTCGGCTTTCGGAGCACGGCCCGGACGGACGGAGCTCGGGTGCCTCAGACATGATCCAAACCACATGTCATGCGGGTCACATGTCCTTTGCTCCGGGCAGTCTTAGGTTCCGACGCGGCAAGAGATTCCAGGCAGGGACGCAGCAAAGCAGCGTCACAGCGATTCGCCGCTGCAGGACACAGACACAGCAGATACCACAGTAAGCGAGCTGGCCACTGCATGAAGGATTCCGTGGATTTGCTGCCATTGCTCACGGCTTTTGTTCGAGTCTAAATAGAGCTGCGGTGTGATCTCATGCAGCTGCTTGCTGGTCTCTTGATCCGATGGAAAAGGAAAGTTGACGGTACTGCAGTGCTTCATGGCAGCATGGCTCGGAGAAATGAGTCTCAATGACCTGCTAAATATGTTGTCCTGGTCGGCTGTTCGAGCCGTCCCGTGCAAACAGAGCTTGATGCTAAGCGACTGTGACAACGACGACACATTCTTCGGCGGCACTTGGGCTGTGCTGGCGATCTTTCTTTCCCTGTTCTAGCTGGACGGCACTGCTGGCAACTTCCTGCTGCCCCACGCTGCCTGCAGGTGAGAACTAAGAAGGCCAACCAACGACAGGGAAATTCGCAACTTCCATCATGAAATGCTTCGGAGCATGGTAGGATTATACTGCATCACTAGCTTCAAGTCGATACAGTAGCTGGCTACTGCAACGTTGAGATTCAAGAGGGTCTACTGTAGAGTCTATTGCGTGTGTTGCAGTGATGCTGGCAAGTGCAGCAGGTCACATGCGTTGGGCATTGTTGAGTGTTGGCTCTCGCATTGAAATCGCTTTCAACCTCATCCGCCCTCGCCTGCGGTCAAGGCAAGAGTCCCGCCTGCTCCTGAAACCAGTCCATCCGGAAAAATGAAATCCAATTGTTGCAGCACCTGCTGAACAATTTGTTCCCGCAGCTCGCTGTCATGCACCTTCAAGAAGCCAGGACGCAGTAGCTCAGATCTCAGATGTCGATTGGAGGGCAGAGTTCTGTTTTTTCCGGGAAGGCCTCGTCGCGCATGGACCTCCGCAGCCTCTTCTTCAAAGCCCTGCCACTGTAGGGGAGATGCTTCTCACAGACACAGATGCATCGAGGCCTAACTTCCAGCGGGTACAGCGCATTGGCGCGGACGACGCGCGCCTGCAGTCGGAAAAATCTGAGACTTCATGGAACCTCCTGCCTGATTGAAGCTGTTCCGGATCTTGCGAATGGCCGCCTGTAATTTCGCGCTGAAAAGATCTGGATCTTCACTGAATGGCACGATCCAAGCATCTACTGCTGCTGCACGAAGGAGTACAAGCCTCAGCAAACGTCACAATCTAGCAAACAGATCAAACAGGCTAACATTATCATCACAATATTCTCAAAAGAACTAGACCCTGGGGACACGGAGGCTGTCTAGATGACAGACCGTGACAAGGTTTTAGAGCCGAGGGACCTCCACCCCTCCTCCCGCAGCTGCTGTACGCGCAAGCGAGGGGAGGCACGGAGTCGTGGGGTCATCCAAGTGGAGCCTGCAGAGGCCTCCAGGACAAAATCCGGTTGTGAGAGCACCTCGCAAGGCGATACAAGAATCGACTCCGTTCAGAGACGCTCCGAGAACGACACCAGAATACCCAGGCGGAAGAAAGGATGCCCCCAGTCCACATCGTAGCAGCCTTGACATTGCAAGAGACATCCTACTCCGAAAACAAGCGCGATGCGGGTGATGCGACAACCGATCACGTGCGGAAATACATGGCCACCGATGAATCGCTACAGTCCTACATCCCTTCCACCCTGTGTTTCTCTATGTTTCTCTCCTGTCGTCGTCTCCGGCCTGCAGGCCACCGGAGCTCGAAGCCGCCACTGCCACGTGCTGTCTCGGCTGCGAGACGGCCCAATGGATGCGGAGCAGCTCGCAGCAGCTGCGCCGTATTCAACGCCTCAGTACCATGCAGGGGCTACGCCGGCTAGGGGAGATGCATGGAGAAGAGTGAGCATCTTTTGCAGAGAACTCATACAGTACGAGTGGAAACTCGCAAACAGCACGAACGTCAAACGCTGCGGCCTGGCGACAGCCAAGACTGAGCCCAGCAGCTGCTTCGCTTTTGACAGACCCTCGCTTTCCTTCAGCTGCACAGGACACAGATGCAGCCACGCATGTCACCCCATCGCCTGCCTTTTTTCGTCGAGCCATCTCCCACCGAATTGCCAGCTCATCGAGTAGAGAGCGACCTGCCATGTCGATTCCCAACCAAACGTCTCGAGCGTTCCCTGTATCATCCGAACTTCCCGGTCACCCTGCGCAATGCAAGAGGGCCCTAGACTCTAGACCTTGGAATACTTGAAGCTGCAGTAAAAGCACTCGTACACAGTCACGCATCATGCTTAAAGGAATTGATTACGTTAAGTTTGGCAGCTCGGGTCCGCTGCTTCCTTCAAAGGCTTTGGCACACAGTTTCAATTGGGAATCAGGCTTGGATTCGGGTGGTTGGCTTCTACTGCTGGCTAGTACGGCTAGCACATGTGCCCTGTAAAGCTGAGAACACTGGAGTATGTTCTCTGGTGGTGATCGGAACCAGACAGAGTGGCCTCCGCAGTCTGTCGTGTCTGTCGCACCCTCCTCTATCGCTCCGGAGTCGGCGAGGCTGAGGAGCTCCTGAAGAGTCGATTCGGCGCGCGATGCAAGAAGTCAGAAAGCAGACAAAGTCACCAAAGCCGCCAGCTTGTCCTGATCCTCGGGGCTCTGGAGCAACTTCGGCTCCGGACTGCGCGTGGCAAGACCCGGACCGAATGTTTCAGCTGTCTCTACAGCCATCACATCGCGCACCTACCCGGGAGCGACAGCAGCTCCTGCGGACTCCGCAATGGACGCCCGACTTCCAGCAGCACCTGTCAACTTGCTGATATAGGCAGCAAAGAGCATTCGGAAGGGGACGAAACTCCCGGACAGTTGCACCTGCTCTGCCACAGGAGAATGGCTCGCCTGCAGAGCTTGCAGGTGCCTGCCGCCACCAATGATCCGCTCATGCAAGCAGGCCAAATGGAGTCTTGTCGTGGCATTCGGACATGATTGCGATGGATGGCGCATACGGCGGAACCAAGTCTTCTTCCATGCGTGCACATGCGGTCTCTGCGTTTCGTCCTTTGTACTGCTTCTCTCTTTCCTGCTGTCATTCTGAATTTGTGGGATTGCTTTGATTGATAGTATTCCTTGTGGTGACGATGGCAGAAGCGCCAAGAAAGAAAGTTGCTCGCGCCAAGCCGCTAACAAACCTTTGATCCCCACACCAGGAACCCAGGGAGCTATAGGAGACCACCAAGACACGAGAAAAAGGAAGGCAGCAGCGGAACCAAGAAGCCCAAAAAATCACAGACCAGCAGGCCAGAAGGCTATTTTCAGCTATATAAGCCGTTCGTGAGGCTAAGCAGCAAGAAAACCAACATGCCATGTGGCTAAACAAGGAGATGACTGCAGTCAAACCAGACCAGGACCCGAATACTCAATCGTCTTGGCATCCTTGTGTTTCTGAAGAGGATTTACAACAATCATAAACAAAGAAGGATGAGAAATAACAACACAACAGCAACAAAGCTTCTTGGCCTGCGTCTCTTGCTGCCTGGAATTTCCTCCTTTTGGTCACTGTGGCAGGGAATGAAAGAAGGCAGGATGTTCACAACGAAGATTATACTTACCCTGCCATAGAAAGACCCAATTCCTGTAAGCCCCGCTTGGAGACCTTGTGCGAATTGTAACCGCAGCAACCGTTGACTCCCGAATCTCCCCGATCAGCTTGACTCGCTTCTTTCCGAAGGGATAAGGGAGGACACTCTCGTCTTAATACGTCGTCTTGTGTGAATGTTGATCTTGTTCCTCACATATGCCCTTGCTGATTGTTTCACATTGACCGGTAATCATCCTTTCGTGTGCTTACTTCTTCGTGCTGTTGATGGTGCTTCCTTATTCCATCCGGCCTTTGTCCTGGATACCACTTAGATATCAGAACAGAAGGCAAAGCACAACTGGTAACATAGTTAAGTGTCGCTAAGAACACGACCTAGTGATAACTGGTGTCCACGTCGAATCCGTTGTCGCGCCCTCTTCAGCATGCAGCAGCATAAGCTGTAGGCTTCTTTCACGTCCGCGTGCACGTCTGTTCACGCTGCCAAGATCACAGAAAAACGATGTTACTAAGCTACCTCTTTGAGTCTCTACATAATCAAGAACCCTAAACGCTAAACCCTATTGAATGGCCCCAGTGATGCGCCTGGCTGCAACTCCTGGCACAACTAAGCGGACCGCGTCGAGGGAAGCGAAGAGCAGCAAAGCCTTCAAGAAGCACGTGATGGTTTGGGAAGGTTTCAGAAGTCCATGGGACATGATGACAGGGATCTCCAATCGGCCTGGCTTCGGATTCCCAACACATGCCTCATCGCAGCATTGGCATCCATCCACACTCGACATACAAAACGACCATCTGGGCATGTGGCGTCGCAGCCGTCTCGCGACACAGGAAGGTCAGCAGCCAATCCACACTTGCCGCCGCCCTGCAACAGCCCAAACGAATTCTTTCGAGGTTCAGCAGCACAGACATCGGATCTCCTTGGCACCAGATTCAGTGCGCAGAGTGACCAGAGTGCCACCAAAGCAGGCCGTGGTCGAAGGTCTGTGCCATGAGGGTCCTGCACCTGGCACTAGACTCCACTGGACTCAACCACAGGACGCATCGGAACACTTGTGAGACCTCCCAGCCTCCCAGCCCTCCAACTCAGCAACGAGAAGCTCCACCAGCTCTGTCTCCCGTTCTCCAAGCTGCCTCGGCCGAGCTCGCAGCCGAGCACAGAAGCTCAACAGTGCCAGAGAGCCATAGAAATCACAGGAGGCTCGCATCCAAGGGCCCAGGGCAAGCAAAACGAAGTGCAACGGCGGGTTCTTCGGCTCGCACGTCGCGTTCCCTACACGTGTCACAAAACCTAAACTCCTTGCAAGCTGAGGATCGCCAAGGCCCACAGAGCCTCAGGGTCCAGGATTCATGGATACGATGGGAGCGGAGCATCTTCTTTGAGAGAAGGGGTTGTCAACGAATTCGGAACATACCGAAGCCGACCGGCTCATCATGAAGACGGTGCTTGGCTTTCCGGGTGTCACTGCTCCGTCTCGTTCGGCATGATACCAACCAGGTGAGGCAGGAAACTCGTCTTGCTCTCTTCTCTGGTGTTTCTATACTACCTCGTCCCGTGGGTTCTGACTGTCTGACTGTGCACCAAAACATGTTCGACGCAAAATAGTTCAGGCCTGCCCTTGTTCTTTTCAATCAATGGAACAGGCCACCAAATTTCTACCCGATCAGCAAGCATTGTCTCCACACAGATTCCGGCAAACAGACCCTACCCGTAAAGGAAGGCACAAGGAAGGAACGTCGGCGCACTATGCTCCGGTCAATCTGAAAGCACCGGTGACGATCCGAACCACAACCAACTCGTCATGACCTATACTCACGGTTAGTTAGCCAGCATTTCTTGTTCAGACAGCTCATGGAAATCATCATCTTCAGACCGTCGGAGATTCTAACCAATTCAGCCAATCTCAACCCTGTGGTCCCAAAACTGGTCGTGCCAAGCAGTATGCCACCCCAGCATGGCAACCTTGCTGCCTTCACTGTGCCTCATTGCTGCCAGCAGAGTGGCTCGGGCTGTGTTGCGCCGTGACAGTCTTCCCCCATTGGCTCCGTATCTGGCCACAATCGCCTTTGAGTTGAAAGCGGTGCCAGTGCAGCAACGTTCAGCCATTCCAAATGCAGATGAGCCGCATCGGCAACTGCTCCACAGCCGATGAGGCCCTGTTGGCCGAAGGCCTCAAGGATGTCCACCAGCTCCACCATGCCCATCCTCTTGCAGCCAGAACGCGGAAGACATGCACCCAAGTCCATTGCAATCTCCTCCCCAGCATTCCCATAGGTTGATGAAGTTGAAGTACCGGCTCTGTGGGCGGATATGCAGCTCCTGTGATATGATGCGGCAAGTACTGAAGTGTGCTGTCACACCTCCGCCGGCGGCATGCTCCTCCGTCAGACTCGGGGGATGCCAAGCGCCTCGTGGGTTGATTCTGAGTGCTCATGCTTGGAGATCAACGTGTCACAGATGCAACCGAGACAAACACGTCACGCCTTGGACTGCTTTGCGCAGAGGATGGGCTCAGTGCTCGCAACATGCGAAGCAAAAGCCTCGAATCCTGCATTGCCAGAGCAAGACTTGCGTCAAGGTCCAGGATGCAAAATCAAGCCTTGAAGCTGCCAAAGTCTGCTCCCTCTGCACAAGTATACCAAGGGAACAGCGTTCAAGCGTACTCCTGCCTGAAGCTCGTGAAGCAGCGAACCCGGTCAAGCTTCCTCGAACTTCAGCTCTGGGAACGATTTGATCGCTGCAGCTGCCTGCATACAGTAATGCAAATCTATCCACGAACAAAGCAAAGGCGAGACTGCAGCCACCTCCGCTGGTGTCAGGATGGCCCATGGCCTCTGGTCACCCAGGCCTCCGTACACCGCTGCACCAGGAAGGTTTAACTCTCCGAAGGTAACGCGATGCAGGACAAGCCTGCAGCCTGGCTTTCGAGGGCAGACGCCAAGCGAGCATAAGCTGCTTCGAAAACGTGGCGATATGCCTGGACCGGACCAGAACTCACGAGTCACATCAGCGAGCAAAAAATAAACCACACCGATCAAATCCAGCCTTGTAGCTGTAGCCCTTCAAGCTTTCGATGCAGCTTGCCACCTCTCGCGTGAGTGCACTCTACTCTAGTGACTCTAGTGCTTGTGAAAACGACGCAACCATCCATAACCGCGGCAACATGAAGGACTGCTTAGCACTTGCAACGTGTGTGTATAAGGACTTCACAGTCACGCGGAATCCTTGTGTCTGTGCTTCTCTACTGGCTCTGGCTGAGAGATTGGGATACCAATACTTATGCCAGTGCCAATACCAATACTATTACGACTCCTCCTCACAATCCTACCTCTGCCCTACTCCTACTCCTAACCGCAACCGTACGGCTAATGCTACTGCTCCAGCTCCTGCTACACGGCACTACACCTGCACCATCCTACGCCTGCACCTGCGCAGCTGCGCCTCCTCCTCCTCCTCCTCCTTCCTCCACCATCCCTGCTGCTGCTTCTGCTGCTACTCGTCGCAGTAGTTCTGTTCCAACAATGATCTGTACTACTACGCCAGTGCGACTGATCATGACCTGTGCAACTACAGTGCCCTTACCACTACAGCCGCAGCTACCACTGCCACTTTCACGACAGGAACGACGATTAGCATGGGAACACTACCGATTTGCGACAACGATCGCAGTTACTGATGGCCACAACTACGGCGGCAGCTGCTTCTGGTCTTTCCCAGACGGCGCAGAACCTAGCCCCAAGCTCCTAAAGCTTTCGCCTGTTTCGGCTCCATGCCATGAAGGAGGGCACCGAAGGCCAGGCAGAGCGGAAGCCGCAACTCCTCTCGAGGAACTGGCCCGCGCACCAAGCCTCCAGTGTTCGCACTGCGAGGCCCCGTGCCCACCCGCCCAATCTCGGTAGAATCTATCTGAATCTATCACTTGCGACAGTTCGAGTCCAAGGAGGAATGCCAGCTCAGAATCTGGCGCGTAGCATAGGCGAGCGACACGAAGGCAGCGGGTGACAAGGACAAAAGCCTTCCTGACCTCCGCTAGTTTCCATGCAAGGGCCAAAGCTTGTCCCGTCAGCAACAGCCTACAGCAGAAGATCAGCACGCTCATCCCACGTCGTGGCTTCGGCTGAAAACTGGTGCGAAGCAGACATCATGTCCATCGGCCAGGCAACTTCAGGCGTTCGTCAAGGCTGTGCAAAGCTCGGCGGCTCATGGAGCCAAGTTGAGCCTCTGTGAAACGCTTCAAGCGAACGACTCAGTCCGGCTTTATAACCAAGGCACACGAAAGCATGGCAGTTGGGCACTCAGCGCAAGGCCATGGCCAAGACAGGACGAGACAAGTTCTCCATGGGCAAAGCGCTGATCTGAGCAGCAGCATCCTTCGACAGCTCCTGTCTGCGATCACACGTCATGGGATGAGCTCTTTCTAGGATGCCTTCCCAGACCGCACAGCTCCTTCAGCAGCTTCTTGGCAGCCTGTCATCTTCATCTGATTGCTGTTTGCAGTCGACATCCCAACAATTGGCCTCGTCATACAGTGGATGCGGCAGCCCCAGAGCCACAGCAGTGCGATCGAACGCGCTCTTGTGCAAGGCCAGAAGAAGCAGCAGCGCCTTCAAGCGCCCAGCATGCGCCCAGGCAAAAGAACTCAGAAGCCTACAAGAGCCATTTGCGGTATGATGTCGAACTACTAATGTCGACTTGAAAGAACTTCATGCTCTAACGCCTATCTGCATCTGTTCCTAAAGGTACCACGAGACAAGCAGCCGCTGGGCAAAGCACGTGAGCGACTGAGAGCTCGAGCCTCGCGATCGGCCCTGCCGATAAACTCACTGCGAGCCTTGTCGAGTGCTTGTCATCGCACGCAAAACCCGAACAAGCATTGCACTGACAGTGGCCTCCAGCTCTGCCAAGATCAAGCGGCAAGTCTTCACATCGAGGGCATTGGCCTCGCCGAGCTTCGGCCACGAGGCGGCATTTGTGCATTCCTTGATGCCTTTAGCCAAACTAGGAGTTCCTCTACAGCCCAGGCCCGGGTGTTGCATCTTGGTGCCCAGCTTGTTCGGCAGAAGCTTATAGAGCTTTCACAAGTTACACGATCTTCCGAATTGGCATTACCCAATTGCTTGAAGCAAAACAAGACGGGGCCTGAAACGAAACACTGCCCTAAAAGATGCAATTCCCACGAGCTTGACGCAAAACAACACCCTGCAAAGCGGAATTCCCCAGTAGCTTGATGCAGCCGAGACCCTTCAAATAGCAATTCTCCAACAGCTTGACGCAAAACCGGATCCAGGCAAAACAAAAACATTCCTGCCTGTATCTTTTTGTTTTGTCATTTCGTACTTTCTTTCGTGCGTTCGTTCTTTCGTTCTTTCCCTCATTCCTTCTTCCTTGCTTCCTGCTTAGGTTGCCTCCGTGCCCGTCCCTCAGCTCACCTAAACAGAATCGAAAAAATAGGCCCTCTCTACATCGAACGACCGGAAGTCTGGAGTCTGAGCCTACATGTGGCTAGTTCTCTAGATTAGGGTCCCTTTTGGGGTCCTTTGTAGAAGGGTGCCGTACTACATTTGGGACCTGCAAAGGGACCCTAATTTAGAGAACTACCCATGTGAAAAATTGCTCCTGCAAAGTGCACCGGGCCTGGCCAAGTGCGAGCAAGGCCTGTCCAGGGCGACCAAGGAAGTGCAAACGCGCTGCAGGAACACAGGGTTTAGGGTTTAGGGTTTAGACACTCATAACTCCACTGAAGAATTAATCATATTACCAATGGCAGGGGCAGATTACCAGTCTTGGCAACTGCACCTTGATGAGCGTGCGGCTCCCACATAGTGGCCAAACATACCTCCGGAAGCAGCATCCATTGCTCAGGGACCACCATAAAACTCCAGAAGGTAGGTTTTCATTCTCAAAGTGCAACAGGGACATGAACAAGTCTGATAGAGATAGATGCTTCAGACGGATACGATGGGCACACGTAGACAGACCAAACTTATGACGCACAGAGACAAACACCAATCGAAGCACAATGTAGCCTAAAGAGTTCAGGAAGCGGAACGACAGACATGCGATAAACAAAAAGATGGTATGCACAACCTGAGTTCAGACAATCGGAAACACACGCACGCAGAACGAGTCACTGACACAGACACACTCGCATTTATGCCTCGCCCGAGGCGTTGCACGTCCAACTCGGTTGTCTTCCACGAGGCTGAGAGCTCGCTTCTGACCAATGGTGATTAGCACGGTTCCAAAGTCAAAGCAATCAAGCAACTACAGCCCTGGTAGGGATGAGTTGCTGTCGGCCGCTCCAGCGTTGCTCCCCTCAGAAACTTCACAGCCGACACCTCAATGACTCGACGAAGTCTTCCACGATTGCAGGATCCACCTGATGAAATCTTGGCCCAAGGCTTGCTCTCTTGCGGCCTCTCCTACACAACCTGCCTCCCCTACGTGGCTTCCGAGGACATCAAGGACCTCAAACAACTCCTTGATCAATGAGCCAAAGCATGGCGGCAAAAGTGCCACATCAAGACCCCGCACTGAACAGGAGGCCATACAATTGCAGCAAACTGCTCCTGTTCTTGTAACATCGGACCCATTTCGGCCAGCTCTGCAAGAAGGGCACACAATAACCTCGGTGCAAGAGGGTGTCGGGAGATGCTTCAAATTGGTTAAGGCTTGGGACAGGCTCCGGGCGTCCTTGTAAAACCCAGTTTCCCCTTCTTGCATGCCGTCCCAGAATCTCCTATAATGCTGCACCAGCATCGGTATCGGCGAGCTCAAAACAAATGCTCAATAATCGCCTGGGACACCGCACCCACTTGCACCTGGCAATCCTCCGACAGCATTCGCAGCTCCCTGGCATTGATCGCTTCTGCGTTTAAAATGGCACAGCATGCCTATATTGGGCCTATATCAACTGCCTTTCAATCTCTTCCAAATGGCTGAGAACGTCATGATACTGGTATGATACTTCAGCCAATCTGATCAGATTAGTCAAGCAGTGCCAGCACCACCAGCACTGGCGGGAGATCTCTGCGAACAGCAACCTGAGACAGACTGCATGCATGCTGTGCCGTCACCTCATAGACACTTCGGCCACTGCAGCCGGAACTGCAGACTTCCTACGCACGTTGCCCCCAGCAGAATTACCGCGGTGAATTCGCCGCATCCGCAACCGCAAAACAGGATACGCCCACACAGCGCTCAGCGTTTTTTTTCTGTCCTTTCCGAATCGAGGCCTCGCAATCTGTGCGATGAAAATGAGGCGTCAGGTTTCTAGAAGCAACTGTCTTGCACGAAGCCACCAGTAAGAGCCTTTCGCTGGTCAAGCTGCACTACAGGACACGCAGCATGCGTAGCTGATGCCATCGGAGTGGCTGCCACAAGGCCTTTAAGCAGGACAGTCGCAGCCTCGCATCTCCTTGCCTTTGGGCCATGTGCTGCGTTTTCCCGCATGCTGCCATGAAGGCACGTGAAGCCAAAGCCTGTGCATCCAGGCCGAAACCACAGCGGCGCAACGGCAGCAGAGTGAAACAGGCTCCCCTCGGGAGCTAAACTTCCTCGGAGGAGTCGGCAGACAGGGGTCCCGGATCTGCCACGAGGCTTTTGCACAGGGGACAGGTCACATGCGCTTTGCACCATTTCGTAAGACCTCGGCTGCACCAGCCTCACTAGGCTCGATTGGTTATGCAGGGTTCAGTTACCGAGAACCACTCATGCTTCCCTGCTGCTAGCAATTCCTTCTGGGCACTCCCCTTATGCGGCCCCTGAAAACTAACTCAAGCTTCAAGGTCTTCCGTGCCTCATTGCGGGTTTCAGGCCCGTTCTGTGCAATGCTTGCTGGTTGAAGTGGGCCGTTTTGGCCGAATAGGGGTGCTTCAGGTGCATCAAGCGTGCTTTGCCAAAAGTTGTTTTTTCTAACCCGGTTTCGGGTCCTATACGAAGGCAGTCGTTGAAGTCTTTCACAAAGAAGGAACACGATAGCAAGACTAGCTGAAACAGTTGCAATCATACTAACACTTTCCACAAGAATCATAATCGTCATGACCATACTGATGAACTGATACATGGCAATTCCCTCGTGCTGCCGGAGATAGCACTCATTCTCAGACAATTTCAACAAAGTCTGATTCTGCACCACGGTGCGCACTCGCTTAATCGCCATAGCTGCCACGATGTAGGCAAAGCTCTGAATGCTGCCGGGCCGCAAGGCTCACAAAAATAGTGCTTGCACGGCGTCCGCACCTGGGCGCTGAGGGGTCTGAAGCTCGCCCACGGAGTCAAGCTGCAGCAAAGGCTTTCATGCAACTGGCGCCAAGACAAAACAAAGCTTTTGGGCAATGAGTGCGGTCCAGGCGTCAACTGTCAGCGAGGAGAAGGACACCAAACAAATGCTGCACTCCATTATGCCTCATGTTGCTGGAACAAAAGCACAAGCATTGACCAGTAAGTGAGCTGCAGCAGGGAAGGATCTAGATTCCAAGGGCAGGCGGCTGCCATCTTCAGGGTCCTGCAGCTCCGGGCTATCGCTTGGTATCTTCCTTAGCGGATTGCCCCGGTGCAAAAAAGAGCAAAGCTTCGACTGCCCAAAGGCCCTGCAGGCAGGATTCGGAAGATCCTTGATCATTGCAGCGCCTTGGCCGCTGGCACCGACTCGCAGCCATCTAGGCATCTGCTGTGCCATGCTTCCGACGCAGCAAATAGTCCGGTCAACGCCGAGCTGCAGCCTCGAACACCCTCGCCAGAATTAAGACTTCGGATGGCCAGCAAGAAGCGATGCGCAAAGAGGATCAGCGGAATACCCAACTTGGTTGCTCGAGAACTATCGGCGCTCTGAGCTCTTTAATGGCTTTACCGACGTGACGTGCACTAGCATGCAGTGTTCTAGTGCAAGAGAACTTCGTGATAAGGCAGATGTCAAGCTGTCACAGCTGTCGCTTCCACGACACTGAGTCCCGGACCAAAAGGTATGCTAGGGAAGCTGCTATCCTTAGCTTCGACTTTAAACTTTCACGCATCTTGATGTCGCGAGTGACCAGGGCCAAGGAACACGTAGATTACTGCTAGCTGCAAAGCCAAGCAGCTGAAAATACACGTAGGTTCGTGTGTCAAAGAATAAGTGCGGATTCGTCGTCCGGCATGTGGAAGACCCCTTCAGAACAGAGGTGGCTTGAATGCAAAGGTCACATAAGCTGTGGCTCGATTTCGCTGCAGCCAGGCGTGGACACCTGTAATTGAAGAAGCCCCCAAACCTGAAAACAAGCTGCCACAATCAACACCTTGACACTTCGGACTCAGCCCCAAGTACTTTTTGCCTTTGGCAAATTCAACATGTGCCCGGAAACAAGAAGACGAACATGGTAACATGTCGGTCGAGTACTCACAGTAATTGGCCATGCTCTCCACTCACCACACACGAGGGATGGCACAGGAACAACACGTCGGACAGAATTTCTGGCACAAGGCTCAAGCCAAAGCCAGTGCAAAGGAATCCTGTCTTTGGCTGGGGACGCTCCCTGCCGCCTGGATCAGGGTGTAGCCCCACATCATCGTGATCCATCCGGGAATTAATGAAGTCAAGGTCGTTGACACCCATACCTGCAGTTCGCTCCAATAAACCGAAGCTTTCAGGTATGGAGGTGTACAGGCATAGGAAAGTCGAGGCACAGATCGCGTTGACATGCCGCGAACCTGCATGTAGCCTCAGGTCAGACTTCTCGAGGCCGCGACACATCAAAATTGAAGTTGGACCCTTTCGGTGCAGCACCAGCGGCGGCTAGCTTTTGCGGAGAGCTGCTCCGATATTCTACCTATGAGAATGCTGAAGACCATGTAGTATCTCCTGAGCTTTCATGCGTTCTGTCTGCATGCAGTATGCTTGTTGAAATCTTCTGGCAAGACCAATATCACAAATGCTGCTGGACGTCAGCATTGGCTGGTCGCATGGAAGCGATCCATAGGCGAGTGCTGCGAAGAAGGCACGCCAAAAGACGATCACCAGAGCAAAAGAAGCTACCTCAGGTCGGATTGGCCCGGGACCGGGAAGGGGCCACAGCGACAGTCCAGTCTCAGTATTGCAGGCACGATGCAGCGATTCCAAACAGGCCGACAAAGCAAAGGCAAATCTCAGCAAGGTTCAACGACAAACTTGCAAGAAACACATCGCCGTTGAATGCCTGCCATAAGCATCACTACTCTGCTTGAGATTGACGAAGCTGCTGAGACTGAGGTCGAGACATCACACACTGACTGAGATTGTAGTGACTAATGCAAAGTTTCTGTCAACTGTCCAGAGTCAGTCCAAGGTGCGATTTTTGGCGTGAATCTTTGCATGAGCTGCTCGACTGCCTGTTGAGCTTCATCATGCCAACTCACAGAGCGAAGGCTCCGGTCAATCTGAAAGAAGCACCTGTGCTCCCTACAGGAACTGTACCACGACTCCGATGACAATCTGCCAGCAGGAACTTTGGTATGGACATGCACCGATCAGCTGCCCAAAAGAGAACCTGGGTCCCCCCTGCTTCCCCCTACCCTACCCACACCCGGAACTCTGACAATCTCGAACAGCAATCAACAAGGTTGATTTCGGCTTGCCCTCCCTTGCCGACCCTGACATCGGCCTCGTCGCGAAGGCGTCGTTGCACAGACTGGCTATCCACCTGGCAGTCACTGATGCGGCTCGTGCTGCTGCACCCTATCCGCCTCTTACTGGAGGCTGCACGGGCGACAGCTTCAACGATAGGCACAACAACACAGGTGCCCAGCTGCCCAAGACAACTTCAGACTGCAGCTCAATGAAGTCTTGGCAAATCAACGTGCCCGCCTGTCTCCGCGAACTGACGCGCGAGAGCAAGGTCTCTTCTGCCGCTCCTGACAAAATATCTCTCATTAAGCGAAGGAGAAATTTGCGAGGTTCATTTCTGCAGGCAATATCTGCAAACCCAACTGCCTGAATTCTCACGAGGTCTTGACCAGCTTGGAGGGCCAGCAGAAACACCACCGCCCAGAAGCGCAGACGCACTGCGCGTGAAGCTTGACGCCGACATGTCAGAAACCTGAGCCATGGCCGCTGTTGGCCGGCGCTGGTAAGAACCCTCAGCGCACGCCTCCGTCCCTGCCTGGACCACTCAGCAGGGCCCGGCGAATCCGTGAGATATTTCTCTGTCCATCTCTACATTGCAAGGGAAAACTCTCGAGCCAGCTTCCAACTCATTGAAGACATCGCGCCAACTTGCGCACTTGTGACGATGCCATCGATGCTTGTTCGCACGCAGTGTGGTGGCACTTTGCGCATGTGCACTACATGATGCAACGAGGCGAGCTTGGCGCAGCACCGCATGAGGTGCCAAAGCCTGACAAATGCCAGTCGAACAAGACCGATTCAGACCGCTACGCAACTCGCAGAGAGAAAAGTTCGCCTCCAGGAGAGCTTCCGCTGCGTTGGAGTCAGTGGCTGGAAGAAGAGCCAAAGCCAGGCACGCCCCATCCGCCAGCGCCTCCGCATACAGCCTAGCAGCCTAGCACCCGACTTCTGGCTTGGATGGCAGCTTGTCATCTCTCGCCGCTTTCCACGTGCGCGGTTTAGCTCCAAGATCGAAAAGCAACGGACGGGCGCCTGAGGAGCTAGCATCCGACGCAACTGCAGAGTGCGTCGCAGCACCGCTGCTAGGCCGCTCTCCTGCTACCGGCTTCCAGCTTCTTAGCTGCTGCCCTTTCTACGAATGCCGGCTCTCATTTGCTTCTCTGTGCTCATCAGGCCTGCTACCTGCCACGTCTTCGGTCTGTCCTGGGCAGCCCACCGGCGAAACTGAAGGGAGATTCCTCGTCCACACTCCTGTTTGGGACAGAGTAAAAGCAGCGCCATCGCGAAAGGATGCTTCTCGCACGGCCTCCTTGGCCTCGCGCTCGGCGGCTTCGTAGCAGTCGCGTGTACGTCGCAGAACCTTCCAGGGAGCGAAGAGGCCAAACGCTTTCTGGGTATGTCACGGCCTGGCCTGGGCAACCTCCACCGGACCCGCGTCGGGCCGAAGATCACAAAGCAAGGCCACCTTTCTCAGATCCGAAGCATGAAAAAGTCCTGTTGCGAAGAGTTGCAGGCACCTTGGACTTCAGACGTAGCTCTGCGGGATCTATCGACTCTTGTACATCCTGCAAGGTGCCGAAACCATCCAAAAACCCTGATACGGTCTTGCCATTGCTCATGCCCAGGCGAGCGAAGTGCCTTCGGCGGTCTTTCAGGTAGCGTGGAAAGAGCTTCCGCGATTTCGTCTCGCACCTCAGCCTTCTCCTGGTCACGGGATGACGCTCATGGCGCTCGACATGAAACGTTTCGCCTGTGGCATCTAGTGCGGATCGGGTCTACCTTACACCTTCATAACAGGGCTTCCCGCACTGGGCACCTCCGCAAGCCATACCATCCATACCAGCTTGTGCCCTAAGAGAGGTCACAGATCCGAACATTAGCTCAGTAGCTCAAGTCCCTGCACTTCGCGTGATTCGAGTCGCCTGATTCGAGCTGTTGCACTCGCTGCTCACAACACTTACAGTGACCGCTTGACGAAGCAGCCGCGTTGCGCTAGCATTGTCGCAAATTCGGCAGCAGGTTCTGAACATTCCGTTCCACTTGCTGCATTCGCACAAAGCGACTGCGCGAGGCTTGCGACAGTTCTGGGCGCATGCACAGCTCAGACTTCCCAAGCGCAGAAATACAAGATTTACGAGACTCGAGAGCCTCCAATAGATCCCCTCTAGGAACGACGACCTGGCCACGTCCTACAATGATGTGCTTCCATGGGCCCCTTGTCTTCGTCTGCCGCACAAAGGAGCTGGAACCCCTCACCGACGGAACTCTGTCTACATGAAGCACCACAACCCTAGCCGCCCTAGCCATCAACGGATCGTTCTCCAGTCAGTCCACGTGAGCTCTACGATCCCACACGACCAGTTGAAGATGCATTCACTGCACAACCGCACGGTGAATACCAAAATGATGATCAACATGTCTCCGACGTGGCCTGCCGCGTGTAAGGCCGGGCGAGGTCGAACCGCAGCGCCTGCGGCAGTGGCTGAAGAAAGCCTCCGTGTAGCCAAGCAGCCCATGTCTGCCTCCCCTCGCCGTCTCCGCGGACGCTTCTTGGCCTGAGATGGAGCTACATCAGAACTGCAATTGACACTACAATTTACGGCCAGGGAAGCCAAAAAGTCACATCTACGTGAAATTGCGGAAAGGGGTCATCAGCTTCCGATGGCGTCCTCCACAGCAACGCAATGCTTGTCCGAGCCTTGGAGCCCCTGACACCGAGCGAACCGCGCCTCCGCCCGCGCGTGCCCGTGGAGCTGTGCCGCCATGCAAAGGCCTGAACATATGCGCATTCGATCAGACTGGACCAAGCGAGAACGCTTCCACAAATCGAAGTGGGAGGGTGCTCGTGAGAACAAATCCAGAGATCGAGGGGCTAGTTCGCCAATGAAAAAAATCTGGAAGAAGTAGTGGTGATAAATTCTCCGTATGGCCGCATGACCATTTCTGGAAAGGGTTTAAGTCCAACAGCAGTACTCTTTGCTGCTGGCAATACATTTACTTGCAGCGGGATGCTCGCATGGTAAAGTAGTCACCTGGATATACTGACCACTGTCAATAGCCAGGAGACTATTGGGTGAAATTGCTCTACTATAACAGCCAGAAGGGATTTGAGGGGATGCGGGCGCGTCAAAAAATGTGAACTGCCCATGCATCATTTGAATGGCGCAGTTGACTCGGAGTGGGGCAAGGAAACTCTCCATCATCGCCTCAAGGAGGCAACAAATGCTGAAAACACATTCTTCACATGGACTTCGGAGAACCAAAGCGACCAGGGTATCAGGATGGGAGCCTGCTCCCTTGGGGGTGCAGGCGGGTCCGAAGCGAGGAGGCTGAACTCCATGGTCTTCATACTGCTACGTGCGGCCTTTCTCGTTTCTTCATTTTCGGTTGAAAGCTACATCAGGGCAGGCGCGACTTCTGGACCGCGTAACATCGTGCAACGATCGATTCCGATGTCACGGCCGGCTGCTGATGCCAAGCCCGCTGCCGTTCTGACAGCCGAGATGGTCCTCAGGACAGCAATACCCTGTGCTGGGCGAGCAAGGAGTCGATGATTCGGAACTTCGATCGGTCCTTGCAACTGCTGCAACTTGGGATCTGCCTGCCATTCCACCATGGCTGCCCGATCGCTCGGGTGGCCCCTGGCCAACCCAGAAAAGGTAGCCAGCGAAAGACCGCCAACCGACAACTAGTCGGAAGGACTTTAATCGACGGCATCAACAGCTGTGAAGTCCTAGCTCTTCTAGCCCTCGGAGGACACCAAAATGAAAGGCCAGGGAGCGCTCGCAGCAGCCAGACGACTTGCGCGAGGGCAAAGGCTTCAGTTTGTCAAGGCCGTTCATCACAGCACATTTACAGAACACCGATAGGAACGGTCCGTTCTTCTTTCTGAGCGATAGCAAGCTGGCCCTTCACATGTTTATCCACGCAGCATATCAATTTAAACAAGCTTTCTCAAACAGACTAGGAGATTTCTCCCGGCCCACAAGACGATGCTTACTTGTGAAGCACTGTCTTAACCTTGAAGCATTTGCTGTACAGCATTGCGTCACTCATTAACTATTTGATCGGCCTATAGGTCGCGGAGCCCTGCGGCATGTCCTTGCGGGCACGGTGCGCTGTTTCCTTTCAACGAAAAGGCACGTCAGCTCCGAAGGCTTTGTAGACAAAGGCTGAAGCTTTGTCCCATACACCAATGTGAACACGAGCAAGATGCGTGCCCGCATCGAGACCTCCAACCGGCAGCCCCGAGAAGATTGAAAACCGGAGTGACCCAGCCTTTCTGGGCCTTTCGCGCCACATTCTGTACGCCTAAAATCGCTTTAAAAAAGTGACGGGAACCAAACCTCAAACCTTAGGAGGAGGATACACCAACACCCACAAGAATACCTCCATGCAGAATGTCGAATCTGCTTGCTGCTTACTGTGCTCCCCAGAGCAGGCACAGCAGGTACATTCTGTTTGCGAAGATCAAGTTGTGCGGTCAGGTGCTGTTTCAACAACTATTCGCTTCCTGCGTGGTAGGTGGTCCTTATCGCTGTTTGCACAGACTCGCGACACTAGAGTCACTAGAGCGTGCTTCAGGTGAACAGGTTTCCACAAGTCGCCGTGGTGAACATTTGACACCTCAAAGTTCCTCATGCAATTCAAAAAATGCTGAGCTGATGATTGGAGGAGCACCGGGTACCCAACTTTCAAACTCGAAGTTTCGGGTTGGACCAAATCTTAAGTTTCGGGCTCGAGGTTCACGCTCAGGTTTACGCTCGTGCGCTGCGGGGAAGCTCAACTCAAGTGACCATGCGTCTCCCGTCCTCGGCACAAACCCAGATTGTTTCATCTGAAGTAGCAAGATCCTGCAGTGTGCGAGGAAGGAATAGAACTGCAAAGCAGAGTAAGCGGCCAAGCAGTGACCCTGCCTGACTCTCCGACCGTGTGCGCCGCAGCAAGTAGCCGCAGAAGCAGCCCGAGAGAATGGCTGTCCTAGCGAACTTCAGTCGAGCACACACCTTTTCTGCAACGGATATTCTATGCACAGTGCATTCTGCCAGAAGTTCATCCAAGACACACTGCACAGCTGCAGAGTCTGCTGAGCTGAAGTGCTGGGTTCTCAGGGGCTTTCGCACTGTGCTGCAGCACCGGCGATGCATAAAGGATCCTTAACTGCACGGCGAACGGCAGTCGTAGCCATGAATTCGCGAACGAACTAGTGGCTGTCAGCCCCGCAGCGGTGCAGCAGAGACGCCAACCCAGTAGAGCAGGCATACCGTGGGCGAAGAGCACACCACATGTGTCCACGCTGCTGCGTGACAAGAACCGATTTCCCAGCACAGAAATGGTGCCGGCCATGGACCCGACCTGTTTGCGTTGCTTGCATTAGTGAGTTTAGCACAGAGACAGAGCCTGAAAGTGTTATCACTGTGACATCAACCGAGCAACCATCACCGCAAGTCCGGGATCCACCGT